ATTGTATTCTCACTGTCTTCCCTCTCTGCTTGTAAGAGTGAGTTGTAGACATCTGGCCCCTTGGCTGCCTCGTTAGCTCTGTGTGGTTTTCCTGAAAACAAGATCACTCTCTTACATAATCATAGCATAATGATTAAAACCAGGAAATTAACACCAACCCACACCACTAGCTAATTTACAGATTACATTCAAATTTAGCTCCCTGTTGGACTACTGTCCTTTTTAGAAAAGGGGGAAAAATGTTTTTCTTGGTTCAGGGACTGGCCCAGGTTACAAGTTGCATTTGGCTGCCATGGCTCTTTAGTTCCTTGGACTTAGATTTTTGTTGTTATTTGTTTCTCTCTCTCTCTTTCCTTCCTTCCTTCCTGTCTGTCTTCTTAGTTTTTGCTTCCTGGGTAGTATTCTATGTCCTAGTCACCTTTGAAAGGTCATGCCAGGCTCTGGTTTCACTGATATCCCCCAGAATTCGATGTAGCTCTGATTTAGGACAGGAATAGTACAAAATAGATGTTGTGTCACCCCATACTCCCCCTTCCTGAATGGGGCTGCTTGGACACCCCCTTGTCAAAGATGTCTACTACATGTCTCTCCTCAGAGAAATTATTACTTTTAAGCTGGCTCCTGTGTTCTTGTGATGTGTTTCCTTCATTCTTTAACTATCACCTAGGCAGCCCTGGACCCTTCTGTTAGATAATGGGATTTGGAAACAAAGACCTGAGCATTAAACTGAAGCTATTTTGTAAGTAAATAAAATAAGTTTTCTGAGGAGCCATGAAAACCACGGGAGAGCAGTTAAGTCACTACAACCTATTGATTTTGCTCAAAGCCACTCGGCTCTCCCACTTCACATCACCATCCTGTTCCGTCTTGTGTGTACCTGTGCTATATCCTTATATCCTAAAACTGGCTTTCTTCAAACCAGGTCCAGTCGACTCTGTATGGCAAACCAAGGGGAACCTCTGAAAATTCCACCTTGTTTTGTGTTACTGATCAGACATTAACCAATACAACATAAGGCTCCACTGCTCAGATTCTATCTTAAACACTGTCTCAGTTGTCTGCTCCTCTTCTTTTCTCCTATTTCCTCTTTCTGGAACATTATTTGCCCTCTAAGGACTTTGCAGCCTTTGGCCTGCCCATTAGATAATCCTGATAGCACATATGTCTTTCTTCATGACTCTGCCCCCTGTTCTGACCAGCACTGGTCTCTCTCATTGGGTGATGGGCTCCAAAAGGGCAGCAAAAGGCCCAGATTCTCAGCAGCATGGAGAACCACATCTGGAAGCCACTCCAAACCTATCAGAATGGGAAAATGTGAGGGACAGAGGATACCCGTGGCTTTCTTTCCCTGGTATGGCCTGATGAGAAAAGCTGGATTGGCATGAAGCCACAAGGCAGCAGACAGAATAAGACTAGGGTGGTTTTGAGGGACGCAGAGAAACACATGAGGTCCCTGCTAGCACTAGTTATTCTAAACTTCTCTTCAGATGTTCCTTCAGCCTGAGACTATGTGGGGGATATGGGGACAGTGAACTGTACTGTATAGCTAGAAAATAGGGGGTGCAGAACTGCTAGCACCAGGTCTTGTAGACACCTTTACACACTTGCAGTCAGACACTCACACAGACAGTGTGGGGTAACGTTCTAGGCAAATGCTATGAGAATCTCTCTTCCTCTCTTATCTGCAAAAGTACCAAGGCCTGTATTCCTATTCAATCACTAAACACTCAGAAGTAGCTGGGGAAAAGCCAGAGGCCCTCAGGTGGCTTAAGGATTCTGGAGGTACAAACATTAGAGGCCAGGAGAGACACCTCTGTTGGAGGAGGGTAGGAACTCAAAGCCATCATGTACCACCAATACAAGGGTCTCTGGGCCAGTCTCTGGAGTAAAGAGATCAACAGGTAGAGGGAGTTCCAGGTATGGAACCAGGATTTAGAGGTCTTAAAACTTCACCCTATTGCATGTGGTAACCAAAATAAGCAGGTCCTTGCAGATGGATGTAGCAACACAATTCTTGAGCTATAATACATTTAGAACCTCTGAACAGAAACTGAGGAAAGAATTCAAAGTGTGACAAAAAGTGCAATACCATTATCCAGTTCAGCATCACTTACACCAAAGATAAATGGACAGGGATGCAAACATCCAGCCTCAGCAAAGTAGGTACAAGTATGGCACAAGTCAGTACATGGTAGTGAAGTTTTCATCTATGAAGAGTGCTTCTTACAGAAACCACCTTAAGAAACATTATAGGATACTGAAAAAAAAAGGCTTATTAAAAAAAGGCATACCAAAACCAGATAAAATACAGAAGGACAGGAACTGGGAGATAGACTGAGGGGACAGAAAGAACTGACATTGTTTTTACTCTTAGGTCTTAGCTATGAACTAAGCATTCTCTAAAGTTCCACATCCAGTTTCTACAACTTGGTCTCCAAGATGGCAAAATTAGAAACTGGTAGTTACTGGGGACATGGTCTCCAAGGGGACTCTGGGACCCTGTCTTTTTGTTTTCTCTTTTGCTTCCTGGCTCACAAGGCTTTTTGTTTTCTCTTTTGCTTCCTGGCTCACAAGGCAAACAGTCTGCTTTGCTATGTGCTCCTACAGCCATCATGGGCTACCCTTATTAACAACACAAAAAAACAGGGACATTCAATTTTAGACTGGAATCTCTAATGTCCTAAGCCTAAATAAACCCTTTCTCAATGTAAGTGAAGTGCCTTTGGTATTTTGCTACAATACTGGGAAGCTGATGAACACATTTATTATTGCTAAGTACTGTTTGTGACTCAACGGTCAGTGTTTGAGGGTTCTGTTCCAGGATGAAATGAAAAAGAAAGTAATGGTACTACCTAGTTCCTTAAGCATCTATGATTTTCTTGCCACCACCCTGGGTCCCCTCACGGGTTCCATGGTGAGACCAGAACTGTGAAAAGAAACAGTTTCCGTGAATAAAAGCAGAGGCATGTGCTGTGCTACTTGGCATTTCCATTTATATCTTTTCAGGATTCCCCTCATAAATGAATTAAAAGATGCCAGAACCCTATAAAAGGGCTAGGAAAACGGCTGCTCTGATTCAGGGGAGTATCCTGTGCAACCTCAAGGAAGAAACTAATTTGGAGTAAGGTAAAAGATAAACCACCACAGTCATTTTTTAGCATTTAGTTCTATAGGGAACTGAGCAAGTTGCCAGCAGAGAGCATGCACGTATCGATCTTTCTAAACAAGGTCAACATCTGTGTTCTTTCCTGGAAATGTTGAGACCTGGCACCAGAAGAGGTGGGGGAATGTTTTCCACATTTCTCTCTTCCAAGGACATTCAAAATATGTTCACTTCTTTTCTCTAGAGATGTTTTCTCTTTTCGTATTTTACATGGTTATGATTCAAACCGCTTTGCTTTCGGGCTAGCTAAGAGACTGAGGTGAGGGCCTAAGAAAGGAAGAGTAGAAAAGATACGGAAGAGCAGAGACCGAAGCCCCCATGCTGGACATTAAGAGGTAGAGGTGGCTTCTGTACCCAGGCCTGGCAGGGGCAGGAGCAGACCCCCGGAGAACAGCTATCCCCACCCCGGGTTAGTGTCCTCCAGAGCTAAGATAAGGCTAGGATCTAATGCTCAAAAAGGGTCGCAAAGATGTCCCCATGGCTCAGAACACCCTCAATCAAATCTAAATGTCTGGCACTTCCAACTTCATGGCTCCACAGGATACTCTTGTTTTGACAAAGGATGAGTGGCACATGGACAGGGAACTCTTTCCTGGATATTCACAGGCCACAGGCTGACCACGTCTTACTCCAAAAGCTTGAGATTTTTGTATTTCTGATTTTGGAATTTTCAGATTAGGGAATATTTACCTACACACAGTGAATTTATCCTAGGGATGGGATACAAGACTAAACACACAATTTATTTATGTTGCATAAATATATCTGACTTACATACCTTGGGTGTGATTTTCTATTAAAGCATTTGAAGGACTCTTAATACATTACTTTCTTAATAAAATTTCATGGTGTGGAATTTTCCACTTGTGGCATCATGTTGGCACTTTAAAAGTTTTGCATTTTAGATGTTTGGATTGGGGGCTCAACCTGCATTGACTACAGGGCAGACATTCATGTTCTGTGGGCACAACAGGCTACTTTGCCATCTGGTGAATTGTGACTTTTAACAGAAATAAAAGAATAGCGTATTTGATCCCACCACTTTAACAAGCTATCCCTGTTCATCAAGGAAAAAGTTCACTGGCTGGTAAGTTCTTAAGTCAAAGCAGCATTAAGAACTTGCAAGTGAATTTTTCCAAAGAAAATCACTTTGGGCCCTTTGTGAATCCATCAATGCCCCACCAATACGTGACAACTCTGTCCACTGCCTGCATTCTTATTCTACAGCAGATCTCTCCCTGTGGTGGGGCCCCAAAGAGGGGAGAGTACTGACTCATATTTCCAGCAAAAACCATGATGATTCTTCCTGCCAAAGTTGCAGGCAGTCTAAATGCACACGTTTCCAATGTTCCTGAGAGAGAAGACCTCGTTGATTTTAAAGTGAAAGATCAGTATTAGGCTCCAAAAATTTACAGAATTTATATGCTGCAAGGTATTTATAGTCCAGAGAAACACAAGTGGTTGGGATTTCACATGAGATTTCTGGGATGATTTCCTGTCTCAGAGTTAGCCAAACATGTGGTCTGCTCCAGGTCATGACTCTGAAGCGATTGCATCATTTGTTCGGAGACAGCAGAGAGGTGAAGGTACTGTCACGTCGGAGCTGCAGGCTACAGCACTGTGATCCCCAGAGGCCTCTGAGGATTTAGCAATACTGTCCGGCAAATGTGCAAACAGCCTGGGATGGCCTTGACCGCTTTACAAATGATCCTGGATGATGAAGCACGATTAAGAATGCTTGCCCTAAGTACATTTAGTGGGATATTTATAGTTGGTAGCAAACTAAAGTTCTGTGATCAAAAAAAACCAAACAAACAAAAACCAAATAATCACACACCTTTGGACAGGCCATCCAGGAAGGGCCTCCTCCCTTGACAGATGAACAATCAGGCTGCAAGAAGAAAGAAGGATGGCATGCCAGTTTGGGGCATTCAGAGTCAAGAGAATTTTAACTTTTAAAATGACAACAGGATATTAAAATGGAATGAGATGCTTTGTCACTCAAGTTGGGGGAATCATGTGTGTGACTCACTGGGTCTGTCTACCCAAGAGCTGCATTCCCCCACCCCCACCCCGCCCCTTTGTTCCTGTCCTGCCACAGCTTAAAGATTGCTCTGAGTGGCCATAAGTAACCTGCCAGGGGTTCCCTGTACTTTGGTTTGGCCTAATCCTGATTTCTCAGAAAATACCAGAAAAGGTAACACAAAAAAATCGTTGAGTAGGCAGGCAGCTTGTGAACACATGAAATGAAGCCTTCGGAGAGACAAGAAAAAAAAAAAATCACTGAGGCCCAAGGGCAAACTTCACAGTGATAGATTTGCTACAGCGGCAATATTCTATCTACATCAAACATCTGTAGAACAAACTCCACGTGGCAGCCAGGACTAGGTTTTCTCACCAAACATGGCCGTACCTCACAGCATTCTTCAAATCACAGATAATCCCTCAGGAGACCCCCATTTTACATTTAGTAAATGTAGGCACAGAATCCAATATAAGGCCATTAGCTTAGTGCCAGAAAATTAATGTTTAAGTTAAGCAAAGAGAGAACAGCTGATTGGAGCTAAGACAATATTTATGCCCCATTAATTGACAGGATTACAGTATGAGACTAATTGTGTTTAAAGAGCAAATGGAAAATTGTGCTGTAACAGCCATTATGCGGCCATGTGAAAATAATCTATATTGGCTGAAAATGAAGCTTATCACTGTCATCCCTGAGTGTTCACTGAGCAGGTCTTGAATTGAGAAAGAAAAACACCAGTGTCACTGATTTTTTTTTTTCCCCCAGCAGCTCTCCTTTCCCTGGCTTTGCTGCCCTCCTCCCTGCTGACCTCGTCAGCACGTTACACCTTAGCAGTAAATGATGATGCCAGACTTTCTCAGTGTGTAAACTTGTTCCTGGCATCATCACCATCCCTCACTGAGCCCTATGGGTCACCCCTCAGTTTCCTTTTTACTACTGCATCTATCTGGGCACCTGGCTCCTTGGTTCCCAGTGGATGGAATGGTTGTTGTTGAGTGATAAAGCACAGTTCTAGTCTCAGCCATAGCTGCAGAGACCATGCCAGTCATACAACAGTGGGTGGCTTCGGCCTCAGGTCCCAGTTCTGTAGAAGAGAAGTGTCCGTGTGATGGGTGCCAACTAGATCCCCCTGATTGCAGGTAAAGCAAAGTTAGGAACTCCATACATCCAGCAATTGTGTTTCTGCTTCTAATCACCTGCAGGTGAGGCATGGGTGCCAGGTCTGTCTGTCTCTCTATCTGTCACAAAGGCCCTAGAAGTCCCAGACTGAGGTAACAGAGGCAAAGAGGGAAACTTCCTGGAGAGACCATGGACCTCCTGCTCAGAGGCCTTCCTCCACCACAGTCATTGCCAAGTAAACTGGGGCCATGATGAGGACCCAGGGTGAGAGGCCTCACAGAATGAAGGGCTTTTGGATATAGGGGCTAGAAGCCTACCATTTCCTCCAGGAACCCTCTCTTTTTGGCAGCACACACCAGTGTGCATTGTACCAGATGCCACTTTGGCCCCAAGCAGGAGTCTTTCCAAAGTCCCCACAGGGTGCTGGCTTGGAGAGTCTGTGAGCTTCCTGCCCATACCATTAGCTGCCTCTGTGACTCCTCTCATTAGGCCAGGTCTTAAGAGAAGGAAGTTAGAACACTCAGAGAACTCAGTACCCTTCCCTATCTGTCTCTGGCCCTTGTTCTACCAATATGCCCAAAGAGGTGTCTGGACACTAGCTCCTGCCCAATACTATTGCCACTGTGGGTCAAACACTGGGAGCCCAAGAGATAGCCCTGGGTTCGCCTGCCCCAGAGGCGCTGTGTCTTCACCACGTCCAGGTGGCAGCCCTATCTATCTGTAAGCGATCTGTTTTGCCCTGTACTATGGCTTCAGGAAAACTGAACTATCCACACATACTCTCCCTGTCTGGAGAGTTCAGATTTCAAAACTGAGAACAAGGGTTTCTCTGGGGTTATTCAAATGGGTAACAATACTACCACCATATTCTTTGACACCCACCTCACCTTCTCAATGTACAGATACTGCCAGCAGGCCTTACTGTACATCAATGATTCTCCTCTCTAACTTCTGATTCCTTCTGAGCTGAATCCCTGATAATATAGTAGATGACAAGGTCCAGAGAGGCTTGAGAACGTAGGAACCTCTCCAGAAGCAGCTAGATGGCTAACTACACCTCTTCAAATTAGGGTCCAACACGGGCCGCGAGCAGCAGCAAGCTGCCTGCGTGACTCAGAAATCCTCGCTGTATCCCCAGCAGCTTATCTTTTACAGATGAGTCACCACGCAGTTTGAAACGGCTTACTGCTCTGTACTACAAAAATTCAGTGTTCTGATTCTGACTGATTAAATTTCACTGCCCTCGGGAGGAAAAGAGCTTTAATACTCAGAAAGCTCAAGCATTTGCATTGTTGATCAATAAATGATGAGAAGCTGTCTAACAATCTACTCAACTAAATTACTCAAGTTAAATGCTATTAAATAATGGATGGAACAATCTACATAAGAATTTTGTCTTCACATCAAATTAACTTTTTGGGGGTTTGTTTTACCTTTCTAGGCAGTGTTGGTGTTTGAACTCAGAGCCTACGGTAGGTCAGCTTGCTTGCTCTGCTGGCATTCTATTACTTGAACTATACTGTCAGTCAGGCTTTTTGCTGGCTTATTTGGAGGTGGAGTCTAGCAAACTTTCCAGACTGGGCCAGCCTCAAATTATGACTCTCTCGATCACAGCCTCCTCGCATAGCCAGGATTACAGTAGTGAGTCACGGACACACAGCTTCTCTCATGTTTCAAAAACAACCAGTTGTAAATGCTGACAGACTCCGTGTCTTCACTGTTCATGGCATGAGTGCTATGTTCTTACAACCTTTGCTCTCATGAGGCGAAGGAGGGCGTTCCTCAAACACTGACCACATTTTTTTACAAAGGCTCCATACCCACAGATCCAACCAACCACGGATGGAAAGTATGTCTTACAAAACTGCATATGACAACCACCCAGGATTTACACTGTATTAGAGATATGTCATCTGTAGGTGACTTACAGTGTACAGGAGGATGTGTGTAGGTTCTATGAAAACATTACACTATTTTAATAAGAGACCTGAGCACACACAGACTCGGTGCTCAGGATCCTGAGCCAAACTCTCCTGAATAGCAAGGGATACTTAAACTAATCTTCTTTCACCTTCTGTGATAAGCATGCCCATGTGTCCTTTCTCAGCTCACTGGTAAAGCCACTGAGTACAATCTCGTGTAAATGCAAGACTCTGGCACTGAATATAACCAAACAAAACTGTTTTCATAAATAGAGTAAAACAAAAAGAGAAACAGAGACACTACGTCTCGCACTGTTCATGACCACCTTGAACACCAGAAAGGACCCATGTGTGAGTGGCAGAGGTCCTTGGAGCTTGAGCTCCAGGATTCACAGGCTCCAGAGACCCACTCCGCCTCAGGAGGGAATAATAGCATCCTGGCAAGCTGTTACTCAGGACAGTGGTGGTACAGGCTCTGCAGTTAGGGTAGTCATTAGCCAAGATGGGCTGGAGAGGTTGGACTTGGTTGTAAGGCTCTATCAAAGTCACAGGTGGAACCACAGAGCCACTGGATCTGCGGAGAGTCTGCGAGGTTGAGTTCAAGGTCTCAGTGGTGATGGTAAGCCAGGCTGGAAAGAACAACAGTTCCTTCCGCTGCCTTTATGGGAGCACAGTGAGCTCCAACTCTAAGCTGACCCTCTTGGTCAGTTTTGGCGTCTCAGCTGGAAGATCAGGAGTGCTTGCATGGAACCTGGCTATTCCTGCCAACCCCAAAGAAGACCCAGGTGAGCCCCAAGGGCACTGTCAGACAACACCTGGCAAGAACTCAGCCACAGCATGGCCACTTGCCTAGGATGAGGTCATCCTGGAAGGACTTTCAGAGACTGCCTGGGGGCGGCTGTGCCCTCTGTGCTCCCTGGGGAGAGGACACAAAGTGGCTGGGAAAGATTTCCCCATCCTTCTAGGAAGAAGAATAACATTGTCCTTTCTGTATATTACCATTATTTCTTATTCACTGACAATTCCTTTTGCCTTCACCTTGGGTAGCTCATGTCTTTCTGCCCTGGCATGTGAGGACCAGGCCCAGAGGGGGCTTAGGGTTCCAGCTGAAGGCAGACATGCTAGAAAGATGGCACTAGAGTAATCCCACAGCTGCTAGCCAGGGTGGGCTAAGGGCTCTTCTCTCTATGTGACTGCAACTACACAGTGAGTCCCATGGCCACTAGCCCTGGAAGGCTGCCAACATTGCAACTGACCTGTCTTGCCTGGCTGCAAAGGAATCAGGCTGGAGCTGAGGGGCCTCAACTGAATGAATCTGCTCACAGGACAGTATGGACTGAACACAGTCCACTTCATCTCTAGCCCTCATTCTCCAGGCACTGAAGGGTTGCTTTGGTGCTTAGGAACTGGCTCAGGAAATCATAGAAATGGTGTTGGTTCACAGGCCAGAGTCTCCTAGGAAGGTTGGGCTGGAGGAGTCAGCATGCCAGTCACTTGCTACACCTGGGGTTTAGGCACTTGCTCTGTCCACTAATCAGCACCAAGGAACCCTCTTGAAAAGGAAATCCAGAGAGAAAAGGAAGAAAGGCTCACCTAAGCAGGGCTTTAGGAATGCTTTGTCTATAAAGCCCTGGGCAAGGATGATTTTGTCTTTCTCATGGTTGTTTAAATAGTTCTACTTTTGCTTCCCTTGTCTTTTTCCATCACTGACCCTCCTTACTAAGGAACATGATGTTGTGACCAATGAAGCACCCCATGGCTTACCATCCTGCTATAGATTGGGACATCATCTGGAAGTTACCTTCCAGAAAACTTTGTATTTTTTTCCTTCTGCTTGAGCTCTTCCAATGAACAAAGCAGGCTACATTGAGAGCAGGTCAGCTATGCTGCATTACTACTGACCTCTCTCCTGGATGCTGCACCTAATGTTAACTTCTCCTGGTGGGGTCCACACACCTCTGCTAATGGCACCTCCTGTAGGATTCTGGATGCAAAGGCCTGGCAGGTGGCTGGATAGGGTGGTGCACACGTGCTCTTAGCGACACCTACCAACACACCTTCAATGAGCTCAGAAGCCTGCCCCAAGTGTGACTGAGGACCAGCCCCAAACCCAGATTAAGACAATAGCAACTAAAAACAAGGGTTTTCCACAGAGGGTGTTAAGTAAGTATTCTTGCTTGACCTAGTCGGCTTCAAGAATTTGGACAACAAACAGACCCCAATGCAATGTTCTCATGGGCAACCAATTTAGATCCCAAGAAAAACACCAGCAGGCAAAACTTCTGGGTTCCCTTATTCTCATAAATTTGGATGACCCATGGGGGTGGAGACCAGTTTTCCTGCCAATCACGGACAGGGCCAGATAATACTTTCGTGGTCTTATTTCAGGATGGGAAACTTTGTAAACAACCTCAACGACAAATCCACAGACAGCTTGTCTGGATCCCTATTTGAAGCCGAAGGTCACCAGGGAGGTAGACAGATGTACTTCAGGCATGTGACTGTGCTGAAGCCAGGCCAGCGCTGGCTGCTGGACAAGGACTGACCTCACCTTCTAAGTTTGACAGCGCTGTAACGCAGCCCACTGGGAAGGCGAGCAGGAGTGGGAGCTGCACTTTAAGCTGGAGAACATTAGGAACGTCTGTCTCTAAGGAGCATGGCCACTGGCTGACACAGGGTAGATGGGTTTGTAGAGAACGAGACTGCAGGCCTACAAATGTCTGAGGCTGCAGAGGTATGGAAGGGGGGGGGGGGCCGAGGAGGGACAAGAACCAGTACAGCAGGAGAGGAAAGGACCTTCTCAACTATGCATGTTGGGCAGAGGCAGGTGAGCACTGTGGCTGCAACCCTAGGCTCTCTGTCCTGAACCCAGGTCACACCTCCCCAGCCCTACCTCTTAGGTTGGCCTCAGTTTCCCCCACTGCAGGATAGAGATGTGCTTTTTTTGCACATCAGATGTGTGGTCCTCCTCATCTCTGTTAAGTACTACCCTCACTCACAATCAGTGCAGCATGGCTATGTTTCTTCCAGAGCCTGGAACCCATTTGGCTCTGAGCCCTGCCAGTCAGGAAAGAGGAACTACACTCAAATTCCCTGTCAGTTTTGCTGGTAAGCTGACTGGTCACTTGACAGTTTTCTCCCACGGGGACGATAGCTGTACAACATCTACTCCATGGTCTTACTTTCAAGGAGAAACTATAGGTTCAAAACCATGGCTCTCATCTTCTGGGTCATCTTCCTTGAACAGGCCATATTCAAAGCCAGGATCACAAGATGGAAGCTTTTCAACTGACCCTATGTTTAAGTTCAGGAGCCTAAGTAAGACTAGCATTCTCACATCCAGGACTGCCAGCTAATGAGGATGATCTGGAGGTGAGATTTCTTTCAAAGACCCAATATTCATCGTTAAGCTTCAAATCACACTCAATTTTCTTTACTATAGTTACCAGACTGTTTCTAAAACATACTGATATATCCCCAAGTTAATTAGTGGAATTTGGGGCAATAAATCAAAAAGCCTCACAAGACAAGTTCAGCAGCCACAAGAAAAGAACCCAAAGAAAGACCTCACAGTTTCCCTCCTTCCTCAGCAAAGTACAGAGCCAACACAGCTGTGCAGACCCCATAGCCAGCAGCCAGAACGACAGCCAAGGGAACACTCACCTGCTTCGGGGGTGGCTGGTTCGGAGGGAAAGAGCCTGGTGGGAGCGCAGGGGAGCTCCCAGCACCGCTGCTGCCACACAGCTCAGGAAATGGGTTGGGGATGGCTGGCAGAGACGAGGTTCTGAACTGCTGGTCCTCCTCTTGAAGGCGCCTGGGAGGAAGAAGTCAAGTGCTGGTTAAATGTGATTCTCTCCTATGACCTAGCATTACTACTTCTGGATGTGTTCACTCCAAAGGATTTGAGAGCAAGGTTTTTGTAGTGATCAATGCACCCATGTTCATAAGAGCACAGTATTTACCATAGCCTACACACTGACTGACTCAAGTAAAACTGTGGAAAAAGCAAATTGTGGAATATCCACATGATGGAATAGTATTTAGCCTTAGAAAAGGATATTCTTTTAAGGGGGGAAAAACACAGGAAGGATTCTGACATGAGCTATATGCACATGCCTCGTGGAACCAAAGCCAGTTAACCAAAGGACACAAATGAGATGATTCCACTTCCCTGAGGTATATCAAGGAGTTGAACTCACAGAGGGTAGAATTGGTACTTGTAGTAAGGCCTAAGTGGATGGGCAAAAGGGAAATGTTATTTAGTGGGTAGAGTTGCTGTTCTGCAAGATAAAAATGTTTTGCAAATTGCAGGACGATTCTGAGTGTAGTATTACTTAACTATACACTAAAAATGACTAATGTAGCTAATGTTTAAACTTCACTTGAACATAAAACTAATAACTAAACAAGACAAACTTAAAAGCTGACACTGTCAGATCCAATGAATATCAATTTCTTGCTCACTGAACCCGAGGGGGCAGTGATATAGCTTGGTGGTGCTCCACACAGTCATGTCTCAAACAATGCTTGTAGTTGGCATTTGTTCAATGAATACCTGATGTGTGAAAAGCCTTTGCCAATAAGAGCATTTTCATAACAACAGGGATTTTTTTTTCTCCAGAGTCCTTGAAATGAACATCTACCTCTCCAAATGAAAACACTAGGAGAGGCTTTGTGAGCCCTCATATGAACTGTGGAGTGGACACGTATTTATGAAGACAGACGGTTGATATTGAATTAATTGGAAATAAAAGCTTCATGTCCCTATCTCTCAAGGAGAGATGCTTAGAAACACTCATTGATTCAGTGCTACCCTCCACTCCTTAGCTCTTGTCCTCTCTAAAAAATGCAAAACTCACTTGTCATACAACTGAGCAAAACACGCAGAAGACTATGTATCAGGGGCAGTTGTGACAATAGCAGAGAAAAGGAAGTTCGAAGTTCAAGTGAAAAGGAGAGCAAAAAATGCTCTGAGAGTCTGCCTGTCAACTTCCTGCCCTCCATTCCAGGCTTCCCTGAGAAAAACATCTGCTCTATCCATCCTCAGCCCCAACCACTCATCCTGCATCCATCGGCTGCCCCATCTATCCACTCTTGGCACAAGCAATGAATGTTCCCCCGCCCCCCACTTCTAGGAGAAGGCAGAAAATTTAAACCTCCACTGAACCCCATCTTTGTTCAGAATTCCTAACCCTTCACCATATATACATATATGTGCGCGTGTACATATGTATAATGCACATATATAATATACTCACATGCATATACATACATGTGCACAATCCATCCATCCATCCATGTGTGTGTGTGTGTGTGTGTGTGTGTGTGATTCCAAACTCTTTGTGTCAGCTATCTTCAAATTCAACTATGTTTACAATCTGAAATAAAATCACTGAGCCATTAGCCTCCCTGGGAGGCTTTCTATGAGAGAGCTTTACTCTGAACCGTCTTACTTTTCCTCTCTTCACCAACTTGCTGGGGTTTTATTTAAAGGAAGACCTGTCCAGGCATTCTGTGTGGTCCAGGAAATGCTGAGCTGATTTAAAAATACCAGAACTCACAAGGCATGGAGGGAACCGGGGTTGTGAAATGTAGGGAAGCCGCTCCTATAATGGCTTGACAAGATGCCAGGGAGTTTATTTTTACTGTTAACGAATCCCCCTCTTCCCATCGCAGCCTCAGCACTGGCAGAGCAGCGACTGCAGCCACGGTGATACAGAGTAAGATGGGATAGTGATTTGGTGAGTCCCCCTGCCAGGATCCTTCAGCCATGACTCGACCACTTCCATCTTTTGAGTTTCCCAAAGGAAAGATGGACATTCTGATGGTCTAGATGTTCACAAAAGCTTATCTTAGTTACACTTACCTTAGTTTTCAAATTCTAACCTAAATTAACTTAAAAGTAAAAATACTATGGAGATAAGGGCTAAGGTTCAGGGACATCAGGAACAATGACAACAATGTTGATGACTACTGGGAAAAGACGAGGGAGAATGATGGAAGGGCTGACATTAACCAAGATGCACTATCCATCTAACCTGACTTGCTGAACTGAAAGCTTTTTGTACAATTACTTAAACCACAACCAAAAACAAAACATGTTGTTGCCTGGGAAGTGGAAGTGTGTCTCCTGTTCTCACCCAAGGCTCTCTTTCCCTTTCATGTATGGGCTTCGATGTCAGGTGGTGTGAGGAGCCTCTAGGCTTTCTCCAGGCTTCCCTTCTCCCCACTTCCACCCAACTTAGCTGAGCCCCTCCCAGTTGGGTCATGCTCTGAGGACCCAGCACACAGGTCACTCAACCTGGGGCCACAGAGGGCTTCCCCGTGTTCTCAGTATGGGCTCCACTGGAACTCACTATGCCTCAATTTCTCCATCTAGACATTGAGGATTCCAGCTCCCATGGCCTAGAGGACTCTGGTGATCATGACACCAGTTAATAAATGAGGAGCCTACAGAGCCTCATGTAGTCAATGCTCAATAATACATGCTTCACTTTCTAAAGCTGGTCCTGCGTGATTCTGTGTGTCTCACTTGCTCGGAAGAGAATACCCCTTATGTGAAAGAACATCAAGGAGAGGAGGCCAGGCCTCAAGGAGCAGGGTGCATCTTCCTAAAGGGATGGTTTGTGCTGTTCTACAGCTAGTCTCCATTTCAGAATAAGGTTTGGGCAGCCTCAGGTCAGAGAAAGGCTAATTTCAGCTAGAATCTCAGGTCCAAGATCCTGGAGCAGCTAAGTCTAGCAACAAGTCAGGCTGTCTGGCACTGTCATCATCTCTCCTGATCTTTGGGCACTTTTCCTAGTGGATTGGAGAAGACTCTGTGTCCTGGGCGCCTGAGGGACTCAGCAGACATCTGGTCTCTACAAAGCTTATGGAAAAAAAAAATCTTGCATCTAGGCTTTGCAGGAACTAGGAACAGGGTTGACAGCTAGAGAACAAAGCCAGACAAGCACTGGGAAAGGAGACAACTCACCATTCACAAATCTGACACAACACAGGAAGCCTAGAGGCAGCTAACTAGAGGCCCCAAGACACCCCTCCATTTCCTGGGAAAGAATGTTCCTGGGTTGCATAAAACTCAAGATGTCAAAGGAGAAATAAACCTCTTAGAAATTTCTGGAAACAGGGAGAAATGAAGCTCCCCAGAATATGTGGTGCTGAGTATAGCCACCACCATTCCAGAGTGATGTGAAGCAGTGATCTCAGACAGAGGCCCCACCAGGAATGCTCAGAGGTAGGTGGAGGCTACCTCTTAACCATCCTCACCCACCTGGCTGTGTGTGCCTGAAACCCACCAGAGTTCATGTAGACGGGGCTGAGTGGATGCAGGTATTCTCAGGGGCTGTCCTTCCTTAGCCCAGTGTCATGATCCCCGCTGAGAAAATCTAAAGCATTCTCACCACCATCCACTTGGCTCCCCTATACACTGGTAGGTCAGCCCACCTTCATTCCTCCCCATAATCTGGCCCCTCAACTCCCCTTCTAAATCAAGGGATTCCAAAACCGGGCTGCTTCTTCTTTGGCGGTGTCTTCAACTCTGTTCTTCACATCAGGACACTATCATGCTCCAGCTGGTGGGGCTCCTCACATAGGGGTCAAAGACCAGTGGGATCAGCCATGCTGTCCTTGGCCCTCCTGCTCCTATGCCCGGATGGCCAGTTGTGCTGCCCCAACCCCAACCCAGCCTCACTCACCTGCTCCTAGCCTTCTCCCGTCCTGCCGTTTGGAGCCTGCCATCACCTCCATTGGCATCAACTCTGCTCACCTGACCTCCTCCTTCCTCATGCGGCTTGTAGATCTGCCACTCTTGAGGAAACAGCCCTCAAGGTCCTCTGGGTATTCATCTCGCAAGCCTCTCTGCTTTTGAGGATGTGCCTCAATTTTCAATGTTCACGGATTGTGTTACAATGAAGTTCTGGAATCCAGACCCCAGTGGTTTATACTTATAATCGTAGCTACTCAGGAGGCTAAGTACTGAGGATCATGGTTAAAAGCCAACCTGAGCAGGAAAATCCATGAGACTTTTTATCTCCAATTAACCAGCAAAAAAGCCAAAAGTGGAGCTGTGGCTCAAGTGTTCGAGTGCTAGCCTTGAGTAAAAAGGCCCAAGGACAACACCCAGTTCTAGTACTGGCACACACAAACACACAGAAATAGAATTCTGGGTTATCTTTGCTCCAGGAGGACACTGTTGTTGGATCCCAGTACCTGCTCTGGGGAGTAGAGACTTCATTCAGTTAACTGCATGGCTATGCTTTTAATCTTTCTAGCACATTTTCCTGTGATGATTGTGCTAAAGATCTGTCTACCTATCACAATGCTTGGCAATGTAGCAGAGGCTACAGTAACAGTTCACCCATGGTGTGCTGCTGCGTAGGTCAGGCTTGGCATATGGGAGTCCCCGTGACCATCTGAGCCCAGCCAGTACAGGCTGGGTTTGTGGATGGGACATAACCCCCTCAGGTAAGGGTGACATGACAATCAAATCTGTGATTTAGGAAGTCGTCTGCCTCCTGAATTCATAATCACCACCATGATTCATGTTGTGCTTGGTCTCGGTGGAGAGTGCTAGCTCTCAGGCCCACCTGACAGCAAGGATGTGCACAGGCTGCGAACGCTGCACGCGCTGTCTCGGGGACACCTGAGGCTGCGCAGGGCGGGGCCCCGGGGCCGGAGGTTGGCTGCGGGCATGCTGGCCGTTCTGCAGAAGCGGCACCGTGTCGGACTGCATGTTGCAGGCTGAGTAAAGGCTTTCCATGGATTCACTTATGTCACTCATTACTACGTTCAGGCCCACGTCATAACCTGGACAAGAGAAAATCAGACAGAAGGCAATGTTAGCAGTGGAGAAGGAAATATTCAAATGTGCACCTTTTGAAGATCATGAGTCAGTATTTAAAAAATACTGCACAAGGGACGGAGAAGCCTAAGTGAGGAAGAATGAATGCCATGAAGGAATCAAATCTATTCTATTTATTGACAACTCTTGATATCTCGGGCCATTTAGTATCCATTGTCTAACCTCACACCCATATTTGGTGCTTCTATTCAACTTGCAGACCCTTTTCCCCACCCGTTGTTCCCTCTCCCTTGCCGCCATCAGTTGGTCATTCTGTCAAGGCTGCACCGTATCATCTCAGTTCTCTACTCTGCTGGTTGGGCACTGAGGTCTGGTCAGGCCAATCACATTCTCCATTCGTTGGGTTTTCAAGGTAGGGCAACCAAGAGGCAGAAGTAAAGCATCCTTCAATTCTGATACCAGCCTCAGTCCAGTGAGATAGGCCATGGTCCAGCGAGCTGCTATTAGCTGCTGCTAAAGCCTCTGCAAACCCACAGAGTTCTAGGCCCCTATAGTACCCCTCAGGCAGCCTGAGAGCCCAAAGAAGCCCATCTTTCAGTGGAAGGCATGGGCAGAAACACACAGGGAACCCATGATGACACAGAGGGAAGCCAGAGACAAAAAGAATGAGTAGAAAGGGATGAATGTGCACATGGCAATGATGATGGTAATTCTACACATCAACTGGCTAGGCCACGGCACTCAGATTTTAGTTGTCTCTTCAGAGTACAGATTACTCCTTTCTAATGTTGGTGGGCATCATACCATCAAGTAAAAGCCTAAGCAGAAAAACAAATGGTCCTACTGGAGGGAGAAGGGAGTTCTGCCTCCAGACTTGACCTGTGGTACTTCCCAAGAACTGTCGGTCACTCTGCAGATTCTGGGCCTGCCTGCCTATCTCTATAATGGCACAAACCAACTGCTAAGTTATGTACCAATCTATAAATCCTACTAGTTCAGTTTCTCTGGAAAGCACTGACTAACACAGAGACTTAAGGGTATAACTCAGCACATACAGAGACTGGGAAAGGAATGGGGAGGAGAGAAGAGTATGGCTGGGTCACACAGCTAGGCTCAGAACAGTCTTGTATAGCTCAGCTTCAGTGCTCCAGAACCCTGGTTGTGCTTGGTCAGGGAAGACTGTAAGACCCTCTGCCTCCCACAATTGTGTTGGTACTGTGCTCAAGGCAGCCTGGATTGGCTCTGTATGTGTGAACCCATATGGTCTCAGTAATACCAGATAATGACCAAGGCTCACATTCACACTGCCCCCTGCAAGCCACACATTTATCATCTCACTGGCTCCCATGTCACACACAGGGGCTCAGTCACAGAGAACAGACCCTTACCGGCTCCTGAGGGGTGAACTCACTCATGCCAGACCCATTTCTATTGCTTGGAGGCCCCAGGCAAGACTTGGCCTTTCAACCTCTCTGCTTCAAAAGTTAGCTAGCAATGTTATCTAACTCCATGGGGGACTGTGAGGACCAAGTCAGGCAGTACCTGCTTTATAACTGAGTCTGGCATAGAATAAACAGTAAGATGTTATTTATTAGCTCTTTTTCATTCATTCCGCAAGGAGTAAGATAAAGCAGTTACTATTAACTGGTTTAACTGCTGAACTTTTTAACAAGCCTGGGGGAAATTAAGTCATTTGTTCAAGTTCAGAGAAGTGGCACAGAGAACCTGAAATTTGCAAACAACCTTTTTAAGCACTCATTTGACTTCACCAATTGTGTGCTGAGGTATGTTTCCAGAACATTTCACTCCTGCTCCCCACAAAGATGTATAAGAGGATAGACTGGGAGTGTTGCCCAGCACCTGTCTAGCATGTGCGAGGCCCTTGGTTTTGATCACCACAACTGCACAAGAAGTCTTCGGATGCCTTCGCTTTGGCTTCTCTTGTCTTTCAAGAAGACTAAATGGCATAATGGAACAAGATGACACCAAAACCCAGCTGAAGAGCCTGGCAGCGGTACAGAGGAGGGGAAGGAACAAGAGGCCTAGTGTTTAGCACCTGTCCATCTAGGGGTGGGTGGCCGGGTAGAGTTACAGGAGGATTTGGGAAGAAGCCACAGATCCCCCTGACTTGGTCTTAACCTCCCTAGCAATGGTGCCCAAAGAAGGAGGTAACATATGGTGGGATTAGGCAGGTCATGTCCAAGGTCATGAGGAGGTAGGCAGCCGGCTACTAAAATAGCAGCAATGAGACCATGATGTCCAACTAAGGAAGTCTATGCTGGAATGAATGACAGAGGCCATGTGCTAGTGAGGCCAAGGGGAAGCAGATAGAACTGGAGCTAGTACAGGGAACAGGTCTGAGAGAAACACAGAGGGCGCTGAGTTGATCCCAAAGATTTGGAGTTCTGTTGAATATCCAGGGCCTGTATAGGGAGGAGGGATAGAGGAAAGAAAAGAAGGCTGCTATAGTTCAGGCTCTGAGTGGTCAAATATTAATCCTGTGGCCAGATATTAAAAGGACAGAAGTGCTGAATCAATAATTAATAATTAGCAAAAAATCAATAATTAATATACCTCAAAGGAGAAAGCTTAGGTTCAGCAGGCAAAGTTCTTGCTCCTAGTTGGTGGGGGGGGGGAGGGAGGAGAGAAGGGACAAAGACCCCATGGTGGGTGGATCACACACCGCAGTGCCCACAGTCTTGTGATGGCTGTGTCTCTGAGAGAAAGTCTACATGTACACTCAGCAAGGTACAAATGGAGGAAAACAGCTGTCAGAGACAGCCGACTGCTAACGAAAAGACCAGTGAGGCAAAGCGTAAGTTATATACCGCAGCTCACAATCTGGGGCTTCAGGAAGGTTCTAGAACACACACATCACGATGCCACTCATCCGAACTCACATTTAGCTGACACGCTAATTGTAGCATAATCTAAGCTTTGTAAAACAATTAAGCCCACACAAGGCTCTTAACTCTGTATATTAACAGCTCAATATTTCTACCTTAATGGACCACTTAAGAATCAATACTGGGTGAACTACAAAGTTCACTGTAATGATCCAGGCAGTCTCTGAATTGTCACCCCTACTTGCTAGCTCAGGAGGGCCCTTCCTGATGGGGTGTGTAAGTAATTAAAGCCAAGAGAATGCCTGGTAGAACACAAGGGACTCTGTTTCTACTTCTTGTCCTCCTACAGAAATCAAATGGTAACAGTTCTTGCTCTCAGACATGCTGCTTATTTTTTCAGAAAATAAAATGTCTGTATTTCCTCATGGTGGATTTTCATTTGCAGTTATTTTCCCTGGGTATTTCTGGCAACCCTCAACTGTACCGACCCCTGGTGGCAGCCCCTGGAGTCTCTGGACTTTATGCTCCTGTTTATTCTCCCTAGCAACCAGGTTATTTTTGATTAGGTCTACAGTTAGGGCAGACACAAAGCAATTCTAACATTACTTAGAATAAATAAAAGGTAACTGGATGCACAAATAGGAAGGTAACTAGTGTTCCCAGATTGCTTTCATTTTCCTTGGAGGCAAGATACATCCACAACTTCTTTCAATACGAACACATTTAATTTAATTGGATTTACAAAGCCAGGCTAATCTGATAACATTCACTTAAGTTACTAACCACTATATCTGCATGCTCCAAACCTTTATACTTCTGAAGCCATTAGAGCAGGACTAGAACTCTTAAAGATTCTAAAGGTGCCCTCTCCTCTAGAGTCAATTTTAAAATATTCCCTGGGGACAATTTGCATTTTTAATCTAGATAGTAAAATCACTGTGGTTTTCTAATTTTATTTAAATCTCCTTGTTATAATATAGACCAAATATCAGATCTTCCAAAGGGATTTTAGAGAAGATACTTTATATTCGATATCAAGTTTTTGATTATTGTTTTAATCACCAGACTAGGATATTACTGAAATCACAAACAGTTTTTGTAAATATCCCACAAATTTATGATTCTGTCTGCTAGTTTGGGGTTGGGGATTGGGGTGGGGGGAGTTTGTATCCTCTGCACCAAAGCTTGCTGTAAATCCTCTTCTAGACTCATGAATCTGAGTGGGTCAATCACCCATTTTTGGAAAAGCTTTCTTCTAAGAAACACAAGTGAGAAGATCAACCCAATGGATTCTCCTAGAAGTGACTGTTGCAACTGCCTGTTCACTACTTACAAGATTCTCCAAGAGGCGCCCTCTGGAAGGTATACCAGGAGAGAAAGGGAAAATGACTGTACACTTAAATTTTCATGTCCAAGGATTTTAAGAATGTATTTACTCATACACACATGTAGGTCAAAATCATGGCTGTCAATCAAGCTATTGATAGTTATTTTCCTTCCCTAAATAGCCTAGTCTAAAACTTGGTATTTACCCCAAATATTTGAGTACCTTACCCGATCCCAAATTCACATCTCTTAATTATGACTAGCAAGTGGATGTGAGTTTCACTGGGAAACAGACAATCGATTTGACAAAGCAGCTTCTCATTCAGCTCATAATTTCTCCCATACAACAAGCAAGGTGTGCTGATCTTCAGTAAAAGGTAAGGAGAACAGAGATAGGGTTAGCTCAGGATGTAGCTTCCCGCCCGCCCCGCCTTACCTCCTTAACCAATAATACACTTCTTAGTTTAGAGCACCATCTAGTGTCTTCTTCATGTTAATTAGAGATTAAAGATGTCACTGAATTCACTTTACTAAATTATTTTAGCACCTTAAAGATGTTGAATTTGATGTTGGGCATTGGTGGCTCATGCCTGTAATCCTAGCTATTCAAGAGGCTGAGATATGAGGATCGTAGTTTAAAGCCAGGCCAGGCAGGAAAGTCCATGAGATGCTCATCTTCAATTAACAACCAAATAGCTGGAAGTAGAACTGTGGCTCAAGTGGTAGTGTGCTAGCCTTAAGCAAAAAAGTTCAGGGACAGTGTCCAGGCCCTAAGTACCAAAAAGGACATGTTATTTGCACTATTTGCATAGGATACTCCCACTACTTTACTT